AATTCGGTGTAAATATATTTTGAATTTAAAACAACTCTTATAATTAACAATAAAAATTTTAAATAGTACGATTTCACTTTACAATTTGCCATAAAGGCCAATGGTCTTCATAAAATTCAATATTCTGCTGGGAACAACGACGGAAGAAATGTCTTGCAATTTCTTGCATTTATAATATTTCCTTCGGATCTCTCCAAAGTCTAGACATTCGGTTAAGATGTGTCTAATGGTAAAATCTGTGTCGCATCCGACACAGAACGGCTTCTCATCTCCCTGTAGGAGGTATTTGTGGGTCAGGGCCGTGTGTCCGATGCGCAATCGAGTAAAAATGACTTCGTCTCTTCTGGAGAGGTCCGAAGGATTTCGCTGTTCTAGTTTGGGTTTTATAACATGTAGTTTATTGTTTTTCTGTTTTTCCTAGCGGCTCTTCCACAGACTGGAGGTGTACTTTTTTACTTTATTTCTAAAGTCAGTCTGTGGGAGAGTGTTTGTCGTTGATCCCAGCAGAAGGGATGAAGCTTTCTTCGCCAGGTCGTCTACCTGCTCGTTTCCTCGGATGCCCACATGGCTTGGTATCCATGCGAACATGATGTTTTTTCCTGTCTCTGATAGTGTGTGAATTTTCTGTTGTAGCCTAACTATTTTTGGGTGTAAGAGTGTGTAGTTTGTGAGTGAGGTGATGCAAGACAGAGGGTCAGAAAGGATTAGGAAATATTTGTTTGGAGAATTTTCTACGGAGTCCAGAGCCATGTCAATGGCAGTGGCCTCCGCAGAGAAAATGGAGGCTTCAGGGTGGAGTCTCCTTTGGTGTGTGCTGTTGGGAGATAGGGCTGCGGCGCCCACTTCATTGTCTTTTTGGGGGCCATCCGTGAAGATGAGCTCCGCACCGGGGTATTTATCTACTAGTTTTTTTGTATTCTGCTTTAAAAGTTTTGGTGTTTGTGCTTTCTTTGTTGTGTGTGGTCAGCTGTAAATCTACTTTTGCTTTGGTGAGGTGCCACGGAGGGAGGTCGGGGAAAAGAATTTGTTTGGAAAAGTGTAAGTTTTTGAGGTCCTCAAGGATTCTGGGGCCGAAGGGTTTGATGAGTTTTTCGTTGTTTTGGAATTTGTTTATGGTTTCTGGGTTTGTTTTAAAAATGCAGTCGTGCGCTGGATTTTATTGTGTTGAGCGCTGTTTAACTGCGTATTGTAGTGAGAGCTGTGTGCGTCTGAGTGAGAGTGGTGGTATGTTGGCCTCGGCCTGGGGGCTCTCCACCGGAGAAGTGCGGAAAGCCCCCAGAGCGAGGCGGAGTCCTTGCTTTTGTATTGGGTCTAGCATTTTTAAGATGTGTGGTTTTGCCGATCCGTAGACTTGACAGCCGTAGTCAAGCCTGGACCAGACAAGGGAGATGTACAAGTGGAGAAGGTGTTTTGAGTCCCCGCCCCACTCCGGATGCGATAGAATTTTCGAAGCGTTTAGCGATTTCTGGCACCTCACACGAAGGTCTTTGACGTGTGGTATGAATGTGAGTTTTTTGTCGAAAATGACGCCGAGGAAACGAACTTGGTCCTGGACGGGAATCCTTTCCCCGTATAGTGTCAAATCCGGCTGCAGCACACGTCTGCCTGTTCGGCAGAAGTGTACTGCAACCGTCTTTGACGGGGAGAACTTGAAACCGTTATTGTTTGCCCACGTTTCAAGTTTGTGCAGCTGCATTTGCAGCTGCCTTTCCATAGATCTCCAAAGAGGATTTTTCGAACGGCAGCATATCAAAAAGTTGTCAACGTACAACGAGCTGTCTATGCTGTTTTGGAGGGTTTTTTACTAAGGAATTTATTTTTATTTCGAATAAGAGAGGAGAAAGGATGCTCCCCTGGGGGACTCCTTCCTCCTGTTGGTGGGGGTCTGAAAGGGAGGATCTGACACGAACCTGGAAGGAACGGTTCTTCAGGAAGTTGCCGATGAAGGCAGGGAGGTGACCGCGTATCCCGAGTGCGTGCAGGTCTTGAAGAATGCCGTACTTCCAGGTTGTGTCGAAGGCTTTTTCTAGGTAAAAAAAGATGGCGATCATGTAGCCTCTTTCAGCGAACGTCTCGCGTATAAAGGTCTCCAGGTGGACCAGGTGACCCAAAGTGGATCGAAAAGAAGGCCTAAAAGGGGGGGGGGGGGTGCCATGCGCACTACGGTGAGGCGAGAAGAGTGTTGCCTTTCATTTGACGCCAGTGGTACTAACGCTTCGCAGCGATGGTATTATTGAGAGCAAAGAGTGACGCTGTGACAGCGCCTGCTCAAGGGTATTATAATTCCAATCGCTGGTTAGTAGAAAACTTAAGGGAAAACTTGGATACATTAATATAGTAATAAAACATGAGAGCGCGTACTTGGTGCCGCAGGTCACGCAGGTAAAACAAAGCTTGTGGTAGAGGGCGCCCTTCACAGGCCCCAGGCTCTCCATGGCGTACACTTTACGGAGGCAGCGAAGACACACGTCTGCCTGACTCGGCTTCTCGTAGCAAGCCACCTGGGGAGAAGACAGAGAAATTGTATTTTTATTATTTTGTTTCACGCCCATGGCAATACTGTAATGTTATTTGAGAGGCGAAAGCTCCGAATTTAACGTCCATATCCGATAAGGTCGAGTCAATGAAGGAAAATTCGTTTAAAGTGCCTTTCCCAAGGCAACGTCTGACTGGGCTCAGCGTAAAACCCGCTCCTCCCCCCCCCCCCCCCCCCAAAAACGTGATTTTCACGATTACGAGTCTGTTAGCCTAAGCGCTAGACTACCGGCGTAACTAACCTGGCAGAAAGATTAGAGAAGGAAGGAGAGGGGGTGGTTAGTTTTGGTTAATCTTCTGATTGGTTGGTCGGTTGGTTGGTTGGTTGGTTGCTGAGTGAGGTGGAAAGAGGGGAGGGTCTGTTAGCCATTTGTTAGGCTGATTGACTGTTTGACTGGTAGGTTGACTGGTACATTGTGATGTTGGTTGATAGATCAGTTGCTGGATGAGGGGTTGTTTGGGGGGGGGGGGGAGGTTAAGTTGATTAATATATTTTTTTTTTCGGGGCACGTATTGTTTGGTATGATGGTTGGTAGGCCGCGTTAAAAAGTAGAACATTGATAGTAATGTCACCAGGCGCTGAAAAATGGAAAGATGGCAAATAGAAAGAGCAGATGATGTTCTTCCTTAACAAAAAGGCCCTCGAGTTTGTATAACACACAGAAAGTGTCCCTTTCCATTCTTAGAGCTCGGGTAATATGAGACAATTATACAAAAAGGAGACGATGAGAAAGAATGCGGCCTGATGATATAAAATATGAAATATAATTACATGTACAAGGCAAGGAGGCTATAAAAAACCCAAGAAATCTGAGACGCCGAAAAGAGAAACATTAAAACACGTATGTAGGCCTAGATACCGTTAGAAAACAAAAAAGCAAACAAATAAATAAGAACACAAACATACTCTTACACACTCACACCCGCACACACACACACACACACACACACACACACACACACACACACACACACACACACACATACACACACACAGACACACACAGAGGCAGACAGGTAGACAGATTTACGGGCAATGATACTCTCTACGCATTTCCCTCAGTTTGCTCCAGGTGTTCGCCGGATGACGCCATTAGCAGGACATAAGAGAAGAAAACAATTTGAGTGGGTAGCGGCTAGGCTAAAACAAACAGGCGTCCTATTCAGGGAATATCCTTGTAGCTTCCTTTCTACTTCACGCTACAGATATAGGATTAAGTCCTGTTCAGCAAGTCCTGGAGTCTCAACGAACCTTCAGGTATACTTTGCTTCCCTCAGTACAGTTCTGATATAGAATGCTACCAAAAGAAAAGTATTGTATTACAGTTAAGTCATAAACTCAATAGCATAATGGATCTCTATAGCTCGACTCCTTTGAACAGGGTAACGACCCATTAAGTATTGTACTTAAGGTTGAAATGAGTTTAAAAATCTCCAAGTTCTGATTCCTGTATTGTTATATTACCGGAGACCTGCTTTCAAGAGAATCTTTTCGCCCCTCTAGATCTCGCTCGATGTTCAAAGATTGAGTCCGAAGACAAATTCAAAAGGGAAGAGGGAGATATACTGTAAGAACGAGATACAGCTGGAATAAAACGCTTTTTATATGTCGGACTTGAATGTCATTAATGACAGAGCTTCTTTTACGCTAAATAGAAATAAGGTTTTCACAGTGTCGTTAGACAAAATTTAAGAGAACTGTGAGTTGGAAAAGCTCTTGAGAACTTAAAGTCATAATTAGTGCCATGTACAGACGCAACCGGCATCTGTGGTGTAGCGGTTAGGCACTAAGCTGTAGACTGCAAAAGACCCGAGTTCGATTCCCGTGCGGGGAGAATTTCTATCGACGACCACCGTCTTTCTGCTCGGACGCTACATCCTTCTCATCTCAGACAGACCCTGGTAGACGAGGTTGAAGCCTGTTTCGTATATGGCGTAAATTACATTGATGGGGGTTTTAAAAGACCGACGTTTCTTAAAGACTGAAAAATTTCTGTTCTTTTCTTTTTCTTTAAATTTTCTTGGGCACATCGTTAAAAGCTTGTTCCTTCGTCTGTGAGTTTCAGTACCTGTTACTTGATTATAAAAGTCATGTAATCGGTTGTTTGGTCTCTTTAAAGTTTTAATTACAAATGTTGCTTTACTCCCCTTTCTAGTTTGTGAGTACAGCTCGACATGGAAAAGTAATGAACTCAAGGGATTTTACTCTATAAGAAGTTCCTTTACAAGTGAAATTCTTCTGAATGGTAAAATGATATAAAGACCATACAATAACCCACATGACCCTTTAAAATTGGATTAAGAGTAGTTTTTGCTCCAGTATCTATGAATATATTATGTCTCTATAAGTACAGTCGTCAGTTTTAGTAAAGACATAATTTGAACAAATTATCAAGCCCTTTAACTTTCTCTCTATAAAATCCCCTTTCATTTTCCATTCATCCTGTACAACAAAAGGTGCGACG